ACCCAAGCTCTGATGAAACAAGGTTGTGGGCCACTTTGACATCCACTACACGTGTGACAGCGAGCTGGCATCAAGTCAGCCGTGATGCCGAACTCCTTGTCATCAATTTCTATGCGGCCAGTGCTGCCAATGAGAAAGCCACCTTTGATTACAACAACGACCTTTTGAGCAACCTATTCACTATTGTTCATCAATTTGGCGACACACCGGTGATTATTTGTGGAGACTTTCAAGCTGAACCTGGACTCTATCCTGCGGTTCAAACCGCCATTGACTATTTTGGATGGACTGATCCATTGCTGGGTATTGATGAGAATGGCGCTGTTGCTCGTCCTCCCACATTCTTCCAGCACGCTGATGCCACTTGGGAGAATGGAGCTACCTCCATCGATGGTGTTCTCTTCAATCGAACTGCTTTGGTGGCTCTCCAATCCATTGAAATTTTGCAAGATTTTGACCGACAGAGAGCTTCTGTGTTGGAAAAACCTGCTTCCCTTCTCTTGGATGACGTGGTTCTCCCTCAGATCAATGATTCTATGTGTCCTTTGATTGAGTGGGCTTCTGATCAATGGCATACCAATGTTCAGAGCAGATTTCATGCTTGCTCGTCTCCGGACGACAAGCTTCGTTGTGCTAATGAATTTGCCATTGATTATTTGGTCCGTGCAGGTGCAAAGTGGGGTCCTGGTCGCAGAGCGCGAGGTACGCCTCCCAGATTTCGCACCAAGTGTGTCTATCCTGGGCAGACAATTCATGGTGATCCGCTTTCTGCAAAGATTTCCAGTTTGCGAAAGGCTTTAACCTTGCAAGAGAAATGAAGCTGAGGTCAACTCGTCCTTGCACAACTCATGGGGATTACATGACCTTTTGTCGTACTCGCGCTAAGCTGCTTCGGAGACTTGCTTGGATTCAAGGGATCCCAGAGTCGCATGTCGTCATTACGCCTGATAATCTTGCACCGATTTGTGAATGGCTCCAACAAACCATTGCTTGGGAAATCAAGAATTCCAAATTGAGCCGCATTCAGAAATGGAAGAACACTATGAAGACTGCCGTTGCCCAAGGAGGTGTTGGAAAGACGGTCTATCAATTCCTGAAGCATCGAGGTCAAGTGGTCCCTCCCAACCTTGTCACTGATGCTAACGGCAACATTTTGTACGATCCCGATAGAGCTATGCGTGAGATTGCGGAGCAATGGGATTCAGTGTTTGGAGTGAATGTTTTGGCCAAAGATCCTATGGATGCGCTTCATAATATCTGGAGCGATTTGTCTGATAGGGCAATTCCATGTGATCTCCCGCCAATTACTGCCATGGATCTTTAACAACAAGTTCAGCTGAGAAACAAGGAAGCTGCAGCAAGTTTGGATCAATGGAAAACGCCTGAAGTTCAAGCACTTGCATGGCCCGTTTTCGAACCATTTGCATGCCTTTTTAACTCCATCGAACGTGGTAGAGGAGTTTTTCCCAAGATCCTTACTCAAGTCCGACTTACGATCCTCAATAAAGATGGTCGTGACCTTCCTTTGGCAAAACGGCTTATTGCTCTACAAAGTGTGTTCACTCTTGCCTATACAGGGTTGCGCTTTCGATAGCCACAGGCTTGGTCTCAGAAGTTCTTTCCTGTACAACTTGCTGGAGGAATAAAAAATCGCTTTATGCAGGATGTTCATATGGATCTTCAGCTTCAGATTGATCGAGCTCATTCGTTCTCTTCACCTTTGGTTGGAGTCAAATTGGACAAGAGCAAATGCTTCGACAGCCTTTTGCCCTCTCTGTCTGCGGCTTTGATGATCACATTTGGGCTCCCTGCTTTTCTTGCCAGAGGTTTTTTTAGCCTTGTATACACCAATGCAACGTTTTATTTCGTACAAGCAATGGACTCGCAAATGGTGTGTTGCAAGACTGTAGTCTCAGTTTGCTTTGTATCAATCTACACATGGCTGTATGGATCTTCAGGCTCGAGAAGTTCACCACTGTTGCCTTTCGTGCTTTTATAGATGATAGCTACCTGTGGACTTCTATTCTCCACCTCAATGACCTCAAAGCAGCTGTGGATCGTACGATTCATTGGGATTCGTTGTCTGGTCAATTTCTCAATCAGGACAAGTGTGAGATTTTTGCCACACGGAAACCCAAGCCAGGAGAGATTTGCAAGCTACATTTCCCTCGATGAAGCTTGTCGAAATAGTTTTTTGTCCTTGGTGCGCGTCTTCAAACCACTAAGAAGGTGGCGGGTAATTTTTCCTGAGGAGAAGTTTGCACAAGTTGCTCGTGACTGTGTTGGTATTCGAACTCTACCCTGCTCTTCGCAAGTACGAGCGCATATCATTGCGGCCAAGGTTGTGCCACAATTGGCCTTTGCTCCACAGTTGATTTTCCTTCCCAAGAAAAAGCTGGAGAAGGTACAGATTGCCATTGCGGAAACCCTTTGGAAAGACCGCCCCTACTGGAGGTCTAAAGCCTTGTTGCTCAGCATTGTGTTCAAAAGCCATCGCGCTGAACCTTTCATTGCCCGTGCTTATACCTCTATTCTTGAATGTGCCCGATTTTTTAAGCGCAATCGTTCTGCTCGTGACAAATGGAGTGAACTCTTCTACCGTGACAACCTCATGCCGAGTTCCTTGATGCAACATTTTGCCCAAGCTTGTGCTATTTTCTCTATTACTTGGGAGGATGCGTTTACGATTTCGTGTTTTGGATCCAGTCCCTTTTCCTTTGTAGGGATTGCACAGAAAGACTTGCGGTATCTCCTTCAGCAACTTGCGGCACATGGTTGTTATGTTACAGCTGGACGTACACACCGGAAAGACTTCAAGCTCCCAGTTGGTTTCTTAGACTTGAAGCTTACACGCTCGGCCTTGAAGGTGATCGACAAGATCCCCAATGAACCCTTCTCGATGAGATTGCATTGGGAGTCTGCTATCACAGGTTGTACAATCACCAACGACAGACTTGCTGCCTCCAAGCTTGTTGAGTCGAACCTTTGTCGTTTTTGCAATGAAGAAAAGGAATCTTTGGCGCATTTTGCCTTCGAGCGTTGTGGGCTTCCGTCCTCTCTTTCCAGACCAACTGCTCGCCATGATCATGGACCCAATTTTCATATGTTAGGTATTGTGAAGTACCTTGGCAGCAAGTCCTTGATAGGCTTAAGCTTTCTAGCATGGTCAACCTTTTGTGTGAGTTATGGGTGGAACCACTTCCCTCACTTTGTCATTTCTGGACTGATGGCTCGGTGATGCTCTGAGACATGCCCTGGTATTCACTGGGGAGTTGTGCTGCTGTTGACATTGATGGCTCTCTGGTGTTCGCTGAACAAGTCTATCATTGGCATTTGGCAAGCTATACCACGGAGCTCTTCGCTATTATCAACATGTTTTCACGTGCAAGTGGCCCCATTCTTATTCACACAGGTTCCCTCACTATTGTCAATCAGTTTGAGAGTTTGATTGCCCAAGAAGCAGTCGATATGCAATGGACACTTTGTGAATTGGTGGGCTGGGCTCATCTTTGGTCCTTGTACAAGATCCGGATTGGGCTTCATCCTCTCCCTTCGCGGCTACAATGGTGTCCTGCCCATCTTCTGGAAAATGTGGCCGAGACGGACATTACTGAGGAGTTGGCAGAACAGGCTGGAAGCAATATCTTGGACATCCTCAATAATCGCAAAGTCACTTTGCCAAGCGAGTGATTGAAAATCAAGCCAGCACGAGTTCTACCATGCTGATGACCTACAAGGAAGAAATCCTGGCTATACAGAAGTGGCTGTGTCTCCTCAACAAAGCTTGTGCTCGTGACAATTGGTACAAGCCTCATGTTGAGCGTAATCAGCCTGCCATTGCTGATGCAATTTCACTTACCCCTAAGCAGTTGTTTCCAAGATGGTTGTGGGGAGCTCAAGCTTCCGATTTTCCGTGGAAAGCCAATGTGGACACCTCTCTTGATTTCAAGTCCAAGCGAAGCCTCTCCAGGGAGAATTTCCGCCTTTTCCTCGAATTCTGCAATTCAATCTCTTGGAAGCAAGATGATGCACTTTCTACTTCGTTGTATGAGATCGCCATTCTGGCTCACCACTTGAAATTCCGCTTTCAGCTAGCTGGATCCAGGGGTTGTGGCGACCCCAGCTTCCTATGTGGATATTCTTCGAAGTGCACTTGCCCTTTGCAAAAACAAAGGGGTTGTGGTGGCTCCATCTTTAGTTGAACAGACTAACAAATGCGCGGGCAAAGCGTTTCCCAAAGGCGCATTTTTCGGTTGTGCAGTCTTTTGTCCAGATGTTGTACTCCACTTGTCGCTGCGGCCTTCGCTAGGGGTGCAAAGGACACACCCGCTTCGTGGCAGTTTGGCTTTGACCTTCTTCTTTAGCTGTTGTCTCTTTCTCTTCTTAGTTGGCTCCTCCTGATGGGTGGCGCGGAAAGCCCACCTATCCCCAGACTCAGTACCTGGCATGAGTGACAAAAATGGTCCCTTGGAAGACTACTTTCCTCTACCAACAATGGGTTTCCACTTCCATGTTGGTGAGTCAGAGTGTAGTTGACTGTTTCAGGAAGCAGCCGCCCATTATATGATGACTCAGCTCTCAGCCAATCTACACCACTTCCCAATCAGCCTTTCTTCAACGGAGCTGCAGGACGGGAGCCTACCCAGAAAGTCCGTGGATCACCTGCCTCCCCTTTTTAGGAAAAATGGGGGACACCCCCTGCATCTCCAAGACGTGGAAAGTTCATGAAAGTTCATGTGTTAACCTCCATGTTTCATCTCCGGCGTCGGGGTCTCCGGAGACAAGACAGATGCAATCAGCTGCATGCAGGATGTCTCTTACGGCTTTTATGTTCACTTCCCCCATTCGAGGAATTGACCGAAATGGAGTTGATCATAAAGCAACACTACAGGGGTGCCTGGTGGACTTTCCAATGTCTCTACATAAGCAGGCTGCATTTTCTGGTTCACGAGAACACCGAGACTGAGCGAGTTGGCCACAATGCCGCAGTTGATGCCGAGGAAGCATCAAGTAATGGGCGTCAAGAACGACGTGGTCTTGAAGGCTGAACTCGCAGCCAAGGACGGATCCTTCCGATGTGTATATATATATATATATATATATGTGTTTTTTAAAGTTACACCCTGGAAGACCAATATGGAACCTGAAACCTTTGGGTTGTAGAGGACAATCGTCTTCCAGTTTGGTCCATTTTCAGGTTCCATCTTTCCGGGTGTACTGTATGTTTTTCTTCAGGCGTGTTCCGGGTGACTACAGAGTAGAGTGACTGACGTACGTTGTTTTTTAGTTTTTGTTTTGGTGGGACACACGGGTGATGTTGGTGATTGTCCCGGTTCCTCGCTGTTCCGTTCCGTGCTTTTCCATGGCAGCCAGGGGAATGTTTGCCATTGTTTCCCTGTTTGGTGTGAAGAACGGGTGTGAAAATCATACCCAAGGGTTGGTCGAAAACGACTAGCCCATCCAGTGAGAAGGTAAACTGCATCTTCCAGTATTTGACATTCAACCGTTTCGATTGACTTGCCTGTCCTTAAAATTGGACCTTGACCTTTGGATCCCTATTGTTGTTTGTGTCTCATGATCTCAGGTATACCAGGGAAGACCATTCACGGTCTTCACATGGTCGGATGTCCAAAACCTTGGGTTTTCCGGATCCGCAGGAGGCGGCAGATCAGCGAAGGGAGCTACAAGAGTTGGACCGGAAGACCAAGAGCTTGCAGACCGAGGCGTGCTTGGACCAGTTGGACAGCGGCCGTTGTGTGTGTTTTTTTGTGTTGGACTAGAAGTTTGAGAGGCTCCTGACAGGGATCCCCGGATAGGTTGTTTAGTATGAAAGCCCAATGTGTCCACATTTCCGATGACTCCGATACTGCTTCAGTGGGCGGGCACTCATCAAAAGATGCTCCAAAATGCTCCAAGCAGGAGTTCCTGTTCAAGTGTTTGGAGAAGAACCTTTGATCCATCATGTTAATATATACTAGGACCTTCCTGTCGCCCGGTGTTTTTTGGACACCCAAGTCTCAGAGTGACACCTCTAAGAGGCTATGGTCCTGGTATATAATCCAATCATGCCATGCCACAGTTCTGGCAGTGCAGTTCGTCTTCAGGTCTCGAAAGAGATGTCAAGCCTCAAGAACGAGCTCTCGTCTGTGAAGGCTCAGGCGAGTCAGTGTCTTTTCACCAACTCAGGAGATGAGGTTTCTCCCCTTTGAGCCAGGCTTTCCTTTGCCCCAGAATGATTGACCTTGAGCCAAGAGCCAAATATTCTGAAGGGGCTGAAGTTGTCCTTCGGTCAAATTCGTCGATTTGGATCGGCCGCGATCGCTGGGCCGTGATCGGGAGGGGGAGTGGGTCAGCTTTGCCTGTGGGGCAGTGGGTTGTAAGGGTTGGATCGGTGTTGAGGGTCCAGCAAGTCCGTGGATCATTGGTTTCCCCCAATCCAACAGGTGGAAAAAGATGAAAACCGATGGACATCCTGTATGGAGAAAGGGGAAATGGCCCAATAAACACTTATTAATATGATACCATGGGCATACCATGGGCATACCCATATATATATATATAAAGGAAGACGATTTCTGTTGTATGCAGGATCTCTCTATGCCGTCACGGCATGCTGTGGCTTTTTCTCACAACCTCCTTGGTGCAGATCAGCAAAGTCCTGGTCAAGATGGAGGAACAAGCGAACTGGCTGGAGCAGGCGGCTCGGGCTCCGTTTAATGGATTTTGTGCTCCAACGGAGCACCCAGATGTTTGATGGCCTCATATGGCACTTTTGTAGTTTGGGATGGGGGGGCCCCGGTTGCATCAAGATCTTCATAGAGACGGTTTGGGATGGGGGGGGCCCCGGTTGCATCAAGATCTTCATAGAGACGGTGAGTATGGCTACAATCTGCCATGTCTTTGAGATGCAAGCTGAGGCATCCAGATCTTGACCCAAGGTAATCGCCCCGGACATCACCTGAGGCCTTCGCCTGCCCTAAGGGTATTTTAGAAGTCAGAGTCCCAAAGGCGACTTTAGGGTGACAAAAAAAGACCTGTAAACTGTAACCACCTATGGGTCGGTTGTGGCATCTAGCCCTTGGCCTCCCCTAGCCCTTTAGGTAGGTCCGGTCCCTCATCTCATCAAGTACCCATCTTCAAGATTCTTGATCCGTCTCCCTTGGTGCTGGCGAAACTGTGAGGCCCTCCTTCCTACCCTCACAAATTGAGGTTTCGACCATTCGGACATCGTTCGAAAGCGGGGTGACTGGCGCTGGTCAGAGATGAAATTCGTGAGTGGACCATTATGGTGCTAGGCCGAGCGTTACAGATTATGTACCCAGATGACACAACCTGTGGGACGATTACTGTTTGCAAGAGACAATTGTTCTGGTTCTTTGAGGCATTTTGCTCACTAGTGCTTAGTAGAGAATAACGGAATGCCCCTTCATCATCCCTCACTACAGATACCTTGGAATCCATTTTTGCATTTCTTACTAAGCGCCAGTCAGTTTGGTCAGGGGTCATGGCTGCCTGCGTCATTTGGCACCGTTGACGCCCAAACGAACATCTTCACGCTCGCAGGAGAAGAAAGAGAGAAGTGCCAGCATTGTCCGCAGCTAAGGGCTGCGCTGAACGGCTGAGGATGATATTTAATGATATTTACCATTATTTACCTAGGGTTGGTGAAACAGTGGTCAAATGGGTTCCACGTGTATATATAGAGAGAGGTGGGCGTACTGTGGCTAGGGTACAAAACAATCAACCCATATAATGGCTGGTGTATTTGTTTCATGTTCCTGGTTGCTTGAAGTTGCTTGGCCACCGGTGTCGCATTTTGTTGTTCGAACGATTTGTACCATGGTTTTGGGTTTGGTACATCCTGGTACATAAAATTGGTACGTGGTACTCATGTTCTTTCAGGCCTCCTCAAACAAGCACCTCTTTTTGTTGAGCTATGGCTCTTCTGATGTTTCCATAGTTTCATGATGTTTCATGTGTTTTGCAGTTTTGCATGCTTTTTGGGTGGTGTGTAACATTTTGGCAGCACACATTCAATGAATGGACTTCTTGTACTATCATGAACAAAGCAAAGTCCCTGATTCATGGACTGCTAGAATGGTTTCCTATGGTTTGCAGACAATCTACTGGGCCACCCTGAACAATGTACCAGCTACTTTGGTGAATGGGAACCTTTTCAGCAGGATCTTCAAAAAGAACTTCCAGAAACCGATCCCTGGTCCAGATTTCAGGGTCACTGGTGAGATCAGTTTGATGGAGAGAATGGTCACTAGCACCTTAGGTGCGTAGTTAATGATGCACCGTTGCACCCGTTTTACGCAACCACTTGGCCCCCTGTTGCACAAACATATGTTTGCTTCCGAAGGAACACTGTACCCCCTCAAAAAGCAAAGTACCGTTTACTTTCAGTCAGAGAGCGAGGATGCCCTATGGAAAAGTTCCCAGATTCCCAAGATCGAGATCTGTCATTTAGATACCCTCCGTCTAACAATGATGGAAGTGTAAAACATCATGTTAGTAGGAAAAAATATATATTCCGAGGCCATGGTCTGTGGATCACAGGCTTAAAAGACCACGGTCAGTTGACTGGACGATTGGGTGGTCCATCAGCGTCCCACAATGACGGTTAATAGCAGGACCCCAAGTAACTTCTCAGGCCGAGATCCATGAGAAGATCAACATTTTGCCCGCTCATGGCACTGCGCTGGCCGGCATCACCAGCAAGGTGCTTGGTTGGTTTGTTCTGTGTTACAGTGTTCCTCTCATGTCCTCACATGTAGGGTTTAAAGATCGGCTCGGTGGGTCCAAGGGTAGTGGACCCTTTCTGCGGAGGCTTCAACTTGAACACAGCTAGCCATGAACGCCCTCGTGGTTCTTTTTGCCGAAGTTTCGAAGATCATTTATGCATATGATGGTGATGGGAGGGAGCTCCCCCCGGAGAAACATGTTCTGGACAGAATGGAGAGCACAGCGTTTTGCTGACAATCACTGGTGCAAGTCGGATGGTCAGTGTTGGGCCTAATTTGGGAGCCCAAGTCGTCAGTTCTTTTTCGGAAAAGGTCATGTTGAATCTTGAAGCAATCCAAAACTTCTACCAAGCATGCATGTGGCGAGCTCAAGTTTAGCTCAACCGATGCCTCGGGGTCAAATCACCCCAAAGGACGGTGACGTAACTCGCGTCACGGAACCGGTCGAGTGACGAAGCTTGCGTCGGAACCAGCGGGTCCACAGGTGGAACTCATTGAGTCGCAAGTGGTCGCGCAGTCCTCCTTGCAAGGGAAGATTGATCCTTGGAGAGTGGGATGAGACAAGAGCGGCCGTTTCAAACAGGATGAGCCTGAATATGAGGGAAGTGGATGGGATTTTTGTATAGATCATTGGAGAGTTCGGTTTTTGGGGTGATGTATGATGATGCATGTGTGTTCTTGTGTTTTTCTGCTATGCAAAAGCTTCGATGAGACGGCGATGACTACTGATGAATCACCGCTGATGTCGAGTACCACCTCAACACCAACTCTAAGTATCGACCGTTTGAAACCAGTCTCGACGGTCTCCAGGGTTGATCGAGAAAAGTGGCGAGAATCACCCAACCTGGTTTTGTTTAAGGTGAGTTGTTGTTTTCCCTATGGTTAAATCCGCATCTGGCAAATATGTTACTTTTGTTGTCCAGGTTCCTTGAGCAAATCCAAGACAATTCTTTCTTGGGTTTCACTGGCGCAAGTACCGCAACTGTTGCTTCCAGGGCCTTTCGCCTAAAGATAACAGGCCACTCATGTAGATCTCCAAAGAAAAGTTGTCCGAAGAAGAACGCGTCTACTGTGTTAGAGGACATTCATAAACACGCAGGCATACATGACTAATTAGGTTTACAGGCCATCAGCAACATTTGGGATGAGCCTACATTCAAGTATGCCTTTGCTTTGAGCCCGTCTGGCGGATATTCTAAGACAAAATTGAAGAGGTGTCACCTCTCCCCATCAAAGAAACCCCCACAATTTAGGAGTTCGTTCGTGCCATCTACTTCCTTTGACATCACTCTATGCCACTCTGTTCGTGTCTTGGCGTAATCATCCAAGGATGCTTTGACCCTGCAAGTCTCCAGCCAAGCCATGGTGGGAGGTAAAGTCGAGGCGCGCGTAGTCAGCAGCGACCAGAGCCAATCCAGGGCGGTTTGGGGGGGGGTTGTTGATGGTGTCCAGTTTCACGGGTTCCGTAAACTATATGGCTTTGCCATGGCACCATGGGTTTCATGGTCAACTCATCAATCTCCACTGCTGGTTTTACGGTGTTTTATGGTATACATATGTATACATTCAATTCTGGAGACATTCTGTTGCAGAAGTTACTTTTGTTTAAGAATCATAGTCATCCACATGGTTACTCAGAGTATGCTTTCCTTGAGCGTGGAGGAATCAGCATTTCGGATTGGAGGATGCATGATGCGGACGTATGACTGCTTGCAAACAGCATGAGACGTTCATCGTGCACCCTGAGACTGGAAGACTACAGATCACCATCACACTGAAGCTACTGTTGAATGCGGCCCATATCTGAGAAGCCACCTAATTAGTAGTGCAGTCCAACATGTTGTTGTGAGGCTGGGGATGGTCCACTTGATATATTGCCCAATGAAGGGAGTTTCAGTTTTTGCTTGATGCAATAACTTTTGATGAACCTGGAATTGCTTAAAAATCTACAACTGTCGCTAAACATCTGCTAAACACCCCTTTTTGGAATCTAGGAAGGATTGCCCAAGGCTCCGCGAATCGAACACTCAAAGGAGTTTCCTTGTCTCAAAGCAGTTTATGGATTTAAGGTCCCCCAAAAATGCATCAAAATGCCTGATTTGGATCGACCATTTATGCACCACCCGGGTCACCAGTCCGACCCGGCGTTCGACCCGGCCTCTTCCGCGCGAATCAGGCCTTGCTGAGTCAGGCGAGGCCCGTTGGGCGGATGGACTGCCAGCTTCGCTTCGTGGATGGTCTTCCGCTAGGGCTCCTGTCTCATATCCTCAGGTTCGGTGGGCACAGACGCCCCAAATCCACCCCAACCACCGAACCTCCGTGGGCCAGAAGCCCTGGGGGCTCTATGTATGTTTTGGTTTTGTCTTGAATAGCAATAACCGGGTGATTTTGCAGCCCAGTCGTTGTTGTCCATCTTCAGGTCGCTCACAATATAGAGGCTTTGCGTGATCAATTCGCAGTTTTGAGTCTCAGTACCCTTTATCAACTCGCGATAGTGAGATGCAGTAATTATACTCTTTTAGGTTGCCCAGTTCACCACATGGCACTATAGTGGCGACAATCAACAAAAACAATCCGGTACCACTGTCCAACCAACCAGACAATCCGTGCACCCTCCGTTGGGGTTTTGGATGGTTTCGGACTCAAAAGCCTTTCCGTTCCGAGTTTGGTGAGTTTCTGTGTTGCTTTGCAGGAGAAGCTTCTCACACGCCAGGTTTTCGTTCCTCCATGGTCGCCGTAGCTTGTACGTAGAGCCTCCCAAGACTCCGGCTAAGCTACGGCCGTCCCAGTGGATTTGCTGATATTAATTTGAGTCTAGGCATCAGCAAACAGGCGAAACAGGTACTTCTCCCATTCTCTTTTCAGTACCAACAGAGGGGTCGGCGGGTTTCTCCTGAAACCATTTCGTCGCTTCCCCGTCGGCGAGACCGACCGCTCGACTGATGCTTCTGCCGTGTCATGCTGCCACAGGTCTCGGCGCAACTCATCGCCTTGAATTCGGACAAGAAGCTCGAGGGTCTGGTGACCGCCGAGGATCCCGGTGGAGACCAAAAGCGCCGTGTTTCGGGAGGCGACGGGAGGCTTTCCGAGTCATCGGAGGTTCGGAGGTTGGTAGTGCAGGCAGTGTGGGACTCGAAGACTGGGAGGTTGGGCGGCGAATGGCGGCGATAGGTTTGTCTTCCAACACAAGGAGCAGAGACTTTAAGGAGGGCTAAAACTAAGAAACAATATTCCACACGCCACACAGATGAGATTAAGGAGGGCTTTGTGAAGAGGAAGCTTGAGAAGATCAGACATAAACGAGTAGTTTTGAGATGTTTTGAGGTATATAAGCTGATGAACTTGTGTGAGTGTGGTCTTGGCCTGAGCTGTCCGAAACGTGAATCGATCCGTAGCATGTCGCAACAAATACCTTGTTTGTCATACATGTCACATATATTCTTTATATTATGTGGATGTTGTTGCCAAATGTTGCCAAGTATGTGTTAAAAATAAAACAAACCTCAGCATTAATTCCCAGACCAGTTATATGTTTCCCATGTATGTAACCATTCCATACTTGATCTTTCACTCATGCATCGGTTCATGGGTCGCTTCCATGTCCGTCTTCAGACCACAGGTCCCGTTCGTCGCCATTCCACCGGTCCGGTCTGCCGGACGCCTTGGACGCCGCGAGGAGGGAGAGCTACTGGACTTGAAGCCTTCGGAACCGGCGGCGGAGCCGGAAAGCCGCTGGGATCCGATTTCCGCGGCGCGCACGGAAACGGCGGAGCCGCCGCGGAACCGGCGGTGTGAAAAAGGCGGGTGTGGCATGGAATAGGGGATTGGGTGTAGATGGAAGATGGAATAGGATGGAGATGGAATGAGGATGAATGAGGGCGATATGCTGGTGATACTTTTGTTTTTTCGTGGAAAATGGGTTTGTTTGTGTGTGTGTACGCGTGGTTTGTTCTTTTGTTTTCTGAATGTTGATGTTTCTTTTGTCAGTGTTGCTGTTGGCCGTTTGGTTGGGGAAGGGACGGGTGGTTTGGCGGTTTGGCAGTCTCATGAGGAAGACCAGATCGTGCAAGTTGTGATGTGCAAGTTGTGGGAATGAGGAGCAGCAAAACAAACGAACAAGATGAACATGACATTTCTATTTCAGCAGCGCGTAAGAATGTGCAAAAGCATGTTGTTAGTTTAAAGACTTAGGATAGAGGTTTTTGGCATGGCTCATCTGGGTTCTCACATAGGCAGGTACAGTTTGAGGGCTGTACCTTAAACAGCAAACGCAACCAGTTGAGGGAGGCATTTGTGCATGGGGATTCCGAGGACATTCAGGCACAACCGCTCATTTCTAGTGGATAGTGGTAGTGTCAGTATCATTGCGGTACTTCCGAAGGGCTACTGGCTACTGCTATTGTCTTGCTGTATTGCTCACGGGGGTAACTATTTGACGTGCTATATCACCACATGACATGTAGATCATGGTCACTCAGTTCCTCATCTTTGTGACTTGAGTCCGGCATTTTCAGGTTCTGTCCCCTCCGCTTCCGCAAGCAAGGACCGAAACCCTGCTGCTCGAGTCGGGTTTCTCCGGTACGCTTGTTACTCGGTCTTCCAAATGTCTTTCGTCCGAAAACTGAAAAAAACGCATCAAAGAAAACCTTCTACTTGGAAGTCGCAGATGGTTGAAATGCTTTCGCTCCAATCCCGTGCAGAACGTGGTCATGATGGTCCCCGGATTCAGAACGTGGTTATGGATACCGCCGTGCTTTTGTTGATGTGCGTTCAGGGCAGGAGTGTTAGTTGGTGGGTTAATGAGTTGGTGTCGAAGAGTTTCAAACGCCCATGTTGGCCTGCCATGTCAATTTCCTTAGTGCCACTTTGCTTTGTCAGGAGGAGTCTGCGGAAGCCCCTCATGCAGGCAACAGGGAACGAAGTGAGCACTGTGAGTCGTTAGTAAGATGTTCCGTGTTAACATGAATTAATCTATTTAAGTATCATTAATTAAATCTAATTAATGTTTGTGCAAGAAATTGGCCTCAGAAATGGGTGCACAAGACAAAAGAATAGCAAGGCCCCCAAGTGGCCCACCTGGCAGGACAATATGTGGGGCTGAAATACACCGAAAAAACACCCAGCCAGGATGAAGCACCTTCATTCGTTCGAGACCTCCACCGCTGGAGGCGCTGAACCCTGGGCGGCGGCCTTTGCACCAACAGCAGAGAGCTGGGCGGCCTTCCCGCCAGAGACGACCAGCTCAGGCTGCTCGAACTCGGTATGGTGAAAGGGGGGCTCATGTGGATGTCGTGTGTCAAGAGTTGGTACAGTCAGTGAGACGTATAGATTGGTTATTCGTAGTATAATGTAGTATATAATATAGTTATAATATGTGATTCATATGTTAATGTTTTACCATACCTCAACTGCAAAAGACCGAGCATAATACTCCCATTAGGATCATGCTCAGAGAATCTCAAAGCGTTGTGTTTGTAGAGGTCGTAGTGCATGAGAACGAGTGTAGTCGTTCATTAATGAGGGATGATCAGCGTTACAGATGATATATAGTTCAATCAATTGCAATGAAGTGGGTCTTCAACACATTATTTCCCTTTTTGGTTGGGTATCCTCCAATGGATTTGATTATTGACGGTGTTGATTGAGAGAACACCGCTCACTCTCTTGATTGACTACCACCCAAGAGAGTGTTGATTCAGTGTCAGTAACTCCCAATATGTCTTTGATTGAGTAAACCCCAAGGGACTTTGGGTTCAGAAACCCTCAAAAGGGTTGTTGGTTGAGCAACCCCAAGGGAGTTTTTATTGAGTACTCCAAGCCCCAAGAAGGGACTTTTGAAATCCTTTGAATACTTTGGATGGATCCTGGAGCAATATAGGTTTGGTGAGTGCATCCAAGGTCATCCAAGTATTTTGGTCTTTGTGGACAGTCCGCTCTTTCTGTTTCACGGTGCCTCCTCCAACCTCCGCCTCCGGTTGGTGAACCAGGTGAGGCTGCTGCTCAGGTCGAGGAGACGAAGGACGGATGGGATGGGACGACGGGAACGATTGATCAATGAGCTTACACTCTGACGAACACATCACATGGTTACGTGGATGGCATGGCCCCGAAAGAAAGACTACTTTCCGAACCACCAGCAGCGGGCCTCTTCATGGTTGCGATCCACTTCCATGGTGATGTGTTCGTCGGAGTGTATGAGTTTGGTCTGGGATTGACTATCCCTAATTTCCCGGCATGAGTTGGCACGCTCTAAAGACTGTCAACAATTAATGATTATTAATGACTTGCTTTTAGGCCTGGAACATGATTTGGCCAAGGATATATATATTTTTTTATATTTCCCCTTAGCGGGACAGGCGAGGTGCTGCAGAATATCAACATTGCTGCTTTCTGCGCGCGTTGATGCTATGGGACATGCCTGTAGATCCTATAGGCAGCTCGATCCAAGAGTAGCCAGCTAGATCCTGTGCACGGTGGAGCAGGAAGAAGGAAACGTTGACTACATGTGCGATGTACAGCCTCGTCGAAACTCCTGGCTCAAATCCCGAAGACCACTTGGGGCAAGCCCCTAATTTCACCACAATTTGGGAATTGAGCCAGGAGTCTTGAGAAGGGTATACCATGTGGAGACGTTGCGATGTAAAACCCTCCGGCCAGCTACCGGCGGTTTGGTTCGCCGCTCGCCGGTACCGGGACCGCCGGTGCCGGAACCGCAGGATCCGGAATAGGCGGTTTGCTTCGCCGGACCCTGAAGCTGCGAAGTCACGTCGTGTGCGTGGTTTCAGACTGGAAAACAGCCATGGATGGCATGGACGGGGAGTCCATGATGTGGCATCATGTGGCCACCTGATTGAAGCATTGGAATTTAAAAAAGGGGAAAGGGAAGGATGATAAGGATGTGGATGTGTGGGCATCCGGCAAAATGGATCCATTCGGGTCCTGCAGGGTGTGCTTCTTTCTTGTTCGCGAGCAGATGTGTTTGCTGTAAAACATTGGAGGTCATACCATATGTCTGGTTGGAGCATCACATTGTCACCTACTTTGTGGCGTTGACATCTTCTGGGCTAGTCTGATTTGACGAGCAAGCGTTCGAACTTTTCCAGGCCATAGAAAACAAGACGCCTAGTAGTGCCAGTGTTTTGCTTCAACTCTCAATCTTTGGTGTTTTTTTCTGTGCGGGGATCGGTCCATGGACGGTGAAATTCGCTACGAATGGACTCGTTTTGTCCGATGATGCTGAGGTCGACGAAAAGCGTGCGCCGCACGGGTATGAGCAGATTTAAAGGCTCGGGGGTTTGTAGGTCTAGCGATGTCTTCGCGATCCCCCAGTTTTCATTCATCTGCGACGGAGTTGTCCTTTCCGTCGTCACTGCGACAAATCCCCGAGTGGTATTTGGTTTGTTCGACCGGTTTCCTAAAAAGTGCAGAGGTTCTCGGCAGCTCAAAGGACAGCATTGAAAAGCAGAGTTCAGCTCTTTGGGGCAAAATTTTGCAAGTGGACCTTGTTTGCCAAAAACCTTGTTCAGTTGGGCTGCTTTCATCAAAGAATAAAGCAGGCACTAAGCACAGCAGAAATCATGTAAGCACAGCTTCAGTTCTTGAAGATGGTGCTCCCAGTAACGAAGTGCGGGAATTCGGGACGGACTCTTGGATAGGCTATGATCGGCTAAGTGTTGTGGAACGTTTGGCAGTTGTTCTGGGTCGAGTCGGGCACGTCTCTGAGGGAAGTCTCGACACGAAAATCACGAAGTTCTGGGTCTCCCGGAACGACGGGTCAAAACCTATTAGGTTTATCCCCGGTCAGTTAGCCTTCTTTTTTTTTAGCCACTTCCAGGGGGATCCAACCCCATAGTGAGTAGTAGACCGGGGATTTAGGTTTCATGTTGGAAGGTCCCCCTGTTAGGAGATATTCCGATCTGGCTGGTCCGGTTAGGGTTTTCTTCCTTGCGCATCAGGTCTTTGATGAGCGTGAAGCTGCATCTTGGGAATTCACTTTCGAGTGGACATTGATGTTGAGACATGATGTTTTTTGTTGTCCCACACTAGATCCATAAAAAGTGTATATAGGACATTAAAAGGTTGGCTACTAGGTTGGAGGCCATTTTTGGGGGTTGGAGGCCATCGCATATTAAGATAGGTGTCCACAAGATAGGGTCCAAGCGCCCACGAGAGTTCTGATACGGTGGGACTGGCGCCTCCTCACACAACATCCCCCCCATCCGGCTGAGCCCAGACACACCGACTTCTGTCCTTAATTTCGTCTGAACCGACTTTTGACACCGAGTCGACCCGACTTCTTTGATCAGGTGATCAGACCAATTGTCAGACCATCTTGGAACAATCCAGGATCAGCATCAATCGTAGACTACTCTTTTTTGGAGGTGATGGACTGTCTATGTTGGAAAGAGTTCTGAGCAAACCCACGAGATCCCTGATCAGCAAATACAAAAAAGGATCTCCGAACTCTCCGGGAACCTTCGCGGAGCTGGTTTTCTTCGGAGACAGACCGTCGAGACGTTACTCCGCGCGTCTCCGTCCGTCCGTGCGGAGACGACATCGATTTAGCGGCTACAGCTGACGTGCAGCGCTTCGACCGGACCCAACGTTCGGGTTCACAAAGCGAACCAGCGGACCGTTTGGGCTCACGTGCGGTGCTGTCCAGATGCGGAATGAGAGCATTGCTGATGCGTCCACATGGGCAACAAATGAGTCGATGTGGAGCCAAAAGGAAACTACTGGTATATACAATGTTCTTAATATACCTGCAATTGCAATTCAATCCCTTCCATGATCAAACACCCTACGATATCCATGAATAGATAATTTATATTATATTTGATGATTTTAATGATCTAAAAATGTATAAATAGATTGAAATATTAAAATAAATTATTGATATAAAATATTATTTAATTATATATGTGTATTGAAATTAGTATGTTTAATAATTGATGAATTTAATTATGATTTTTTATATTAATAAAATATATATAATTAAATAAATAAAATAAATATATAATTTATAATTGAATTGTTTTAGATATATAATATATTAATAACATAAATCTATATATTATTTTAATATATTTGATAATTTATAATATTTTTTATTTTTGGGATATAAAGAAATTGAGGAAAGAAATATATATATTATGTAATAATCTAAATATATTATTTTTGTTATTAGGATTAATATATAAATGCAAATTTATAGATTTATTTAGATGCATTTAGTTTTAAATTAGATATTTCGATATTAAAAAAAAAAATATATATATATATACAAAAATTTGAATATAGATAGTTGTCGGATGCTAATATTTAGATTAATTTATTTAAAAATTCTTAATTGTGAATTTTAAATATAATTATAAAATTCTTGGAAATTAAATTAGAAAATATTATATAAATTGAATTTTATTCTTTTTTTTTAATTAATAAATAATATTAAAATATATATATATATCTTTATTTAAAAATCTAAATATATATTTCTATATATATTTAATTTATGTTTTTTATAATTTAGCATAATTATTAAGGGAAAAAAACTAAATATTTTCCACGATTTATATAGTTTTAAATATTTATTAAATTATCTTTTTATTGTAGGTATTTGCCTAAATATTAAAATTCTAAATATATCTTTATAAATTTATAATGTATTACAATTAGATTCTGCAGATATTTTTTATGAATTCGAAAATCTGCGATACAATTCTCGATATGTACGTATTAATTTATATAATATTTTATTAGATTGAATTTTATATTCTTCCTTTAGAGGGTGACCTAAGGGGCTTGTATTTACCCTTTGATTTTTTTCATCGCCTTATTGCGATGGGAATTCTGGGCAATCTAAATCGGGATAATGTTGGTTTATATCGTTGTAGATTTTTATCTTCAATTTATTATCCCTCCTTGGATTAGTTGTCCACCATTCTCGCTCCACCTTCTATAAATGCTGTCGAGCTCTCCGGCATGCACGGGGCTTGGCTTTATCCAAATCCCTAAGAATTCTAAATCCATCCTCAGAAATCCGGGCTCCTGTGG